AAACCACGCCGCTGCTCTGCCAGCTCTCTCTTGTTTCGCTCCGCTTGAGCCGCCTTTAGCTCGTCCATCTGAGACTGCAGGTCCTCTATGAGGGTCTGAAGGGCTTCGATCATATCCGTTAAACTGGTGCAAGAGAGAAAAATTAACCGTAAGGATAGATAATGAAAAAAAATAACATTAGGTTTTGCTGATTGGTTGGTTAGGCAACCTGTTGATCTTGGTTTGGGCCAGGCGGTTGTCCTGCACCAGCCTGTGGTTGCTTTCCTCCACGTCCCTGGCGGCCATGTCCAGCTGCTCGTACAGTTTGGCGTGTTGATCATTCATCTGACGCAGCAGCTCCACCTGTTTGGTCAGGTACTGATGCACAAGAAACAAGAAATAAAAAAAAATCCAACTCTTGCTGATATTCTATTAATCAAACAGCAGGTAAATGTTTAGATGCATATTTTAAAACATTCCAGCACCATCTCCATTTTTACTCCAATTAAAGAAAGAAAAATAAAACAACCTAAAGTTTCCATTATTTGGTTTAATATGGGAATGTTTGTCTTTTAAATACAGAGTACAACAGCAAAATATACAGGAGATTAATTCAAATTTATTTTATGCTTTAAATAAATAATAGAATCAAGATCAATCCAATTTATTACAATAAAGCTGAATAAAACAGATTCACCAGGGAGGTGAAAAAAACACAATGGGAGAGTAACACAAAAAGGCGGTTTGTATTTTTCTCAAATTACACATATTTTAAGTCGTTTCCTAGATTAACTTTAAACGGGAAATAAATTCACGCTTGCTCTCCAGATCTGATAATCATAGTTTGTGAAACTGACACCAACATCAGCCTGGACATCTGTCTCTAAGCAAACATCACATGCTGCAGAACTAGTTTTAGTCAAACAGAAACACGCTCTTGCTCCACAGAGCCCCAACTCACGTGTTCTCACAGGTCTCTGGTACTTCTAGTGCCAGACACATTAGTACGAGGGTCACAGAGAAGTATTGGGATTAGCATATCAACTTCAATAAATCCTCAGACGGCAGCCCTCTCGATGCCGTAAACACATTAAGACTCTTACATTTGCTGACCCACAGAGTGGCGTGTTCTCCAGCTTGTACAGCGCAGTGCTGTGTGGACATGCTGAGACGTCTTGGCAGTGAAATATAAAACCTAGTTTTGACCTTTTTGCAAAAATAATACTATTCAGCCAGAAAACTGTCTGACTTTACTAACTGTTATATCCAGTAAATTAGATAAATTGAAATACTGCATATCAATGGATGCAAAGAGGTGACAAGCGATCTACAAAGACTTTTACACATAATTAGGTCAACTAAGATTTTGCCAAATGGTTCATTAGGTCAGACAGGATTAGATTTTACTTGACCCTGTTTTTCAGCTTTTCTGTTGATGCAGACTCCTCTCGATCCCGTTGCTGCAAATTGCATCATGCTCACTAGTACGAATTTGATCACAACTGGAGGGTCAAAGCAGCTGTTGTTTTCCTTTCCCCAAACATTCCTGACCTCGATCTCCTGCAGCTGCTCCTGGTTGGTGGAATACATCTGCTGCAGGGCCTGCTCCAGGTCATGGTTCCTGTCCAGGAGAGTCTTGCCCAGCTCTGCTGCCAGATGGAGATCTAAACAAAGCAGAAGCAAATTCCAAACCACATCCTTTACAATGGAAATTGACCAGTATAGGTTTATACAAGGAACACACACACACACACAAACACATAACTTATTGTACACTATAAATATTCTGCACTCGTGGAATACTGCTTGGAACGTCCTGTGACTCCCTTTGTCTGCTTCATTCCCACCAGATCTGGACCTTGTTAGCTGTCAGTGTTTCCTGCAGATCTGCACTGAAGCAGGTCTAACACAGACATACCAGCATATCTTCAGCCTTTAATTCCCATGGTTATACGACACATCGTATAATTGTGAAGGGATAAGAAGTCTCTTAAAATCAAGGGCTAATCATAGTCAATCTAATTTTTTGCAGTTTTCATCATTAGAATCACAAATATTTTTATGAAATTAAAGACCTATTCCAAACAACTACTATGGTCTGAAATGTTCAACTTAAACTTGTCATCTCTACATGATCTCGAGTTCTGCCCTGACGCCAGCAGGTGGACGGTTCAGTACTAAATTAGTTATGAACATCTCAGTGACTCCTTACTAATTCCTCTCTCTAAACTCTGAACCCAACAAGATTCATTCAGCCTCCAGGAGTAGCTCCACTCCTGAAACAGCATGAACATAAACATTTTAAGATATGTTTATAATAATAATAATAATAATAATAATAATAATAATATACTGATACATGTTGCTGCACAGAGAGAGCAGGCTTTGTTGTTGATCTGGTACTATTCTCATTTTAAAATATTCAGTAAGTTATTTTTACTATTATTACAACAATCATCATTATAAGACCCAGAGGCTGTAAAAAGTGTACACATACTGCACAAATGCTACGTTTTTTGTGATTATTGTCAGTTCGGGTAAAAAAAAAAATCTATAAGAGGACAATTCAAAAATAAAAAAGCTGCAATCACCTTGCTGCATAAGGGAACAGACACATAACTAGGATTAGGACTAGCCCTGCCATTAATTATATTGAATCTGATTAACTAAGTTGTTCTAGTCAGAATTTCAGGGAATTTTCTCATTTGCATCCAATAACTAAGTCCATAGTTAGCAGAGTAGACCAGAAGGACTTTATTGTGCAAAGGTATCAGGAGAAAATCCACAATATTACATCATAGCACAGTGGAAGCTATAATCAGTCACTGGAGAAAATATGGGCAACTCTAAGCTTCCAAAAACTAGATTCTTCTTAAAAACTGAAGAAAAGATGATACAGAAACTGGTCAGCAACATTGAAGGAGCTGCAGGACTTTCCAACTAGTGTTGTTTATGTTTCACATGCGATTACGATCTTCTATGTTGTCCAAAGGAGTAAGGTTGAGAAACACAATTATTGATCTCTGAAGAAAACGTACAAGTCTGGCTACAATCTCTGACTAATTTCTGATTATAATTTGCATAAACACAACCGCTGTACATTATTTAAGAAAAAAAAAACAACAACCCCCATGCAACAATTTAGTAGATTTGGAAGACATAGTAAAATAAAATAGTTGCATACTGACTGTTAATATGACATTTGTTCTAAATTGGTGCTACATAAAGAATACATTTATTTTAACTGAATTCCAAGTAAAACTGAGTGTTGAAATTTAGTAAAAAACATTAGTTTTAAGTATGCACACACTTTCCACCGGGTTAATGCACTACCCCCCAAAAAACTTTAGGTCGGTTTATTGTTTATTTGAATGTCAAATATACACGTTTTATATGTGAAAAAAGTTCGGAAAATATTTACGATGGCGTCAATAAATGCATAGAAATGCATCATATGTACCCTAGTTATTTATTTCATTTCCGTCTTCCATTCAAGATTTATTTCTTAGAAAACAACGAACACAGGTTGTGACAGCCTGAGGAAATCCTGAGCCTTCCCATCTAATTATCAAGCTTCAAACACATGATCACAAGAGTCCATTATTCTCCACATGGAAACATATGTTATAATTTTTCTTATGTAGGAAGACAATGATACTTTCTTTTGTGATCAATAACAGTTTAGTTTATACTATAAAAGCTTGTGCTGATGCTCTCCACTGGTTATCGTAAACAACACTTGTAGCATAGTCTCAATCAGACGTGGGTTTTAGGGCGCGTCCTTACCGTCCTCAAGGTCCTGCTGGTTGTACCAGGAATCCCCCTTCTTCTCAAACTCTTCCTCCACAATCATGTCTGTCAGCATCTTTCAGCCTGAAGAATCTCCTCCTCTCAGAAAGCGGGAACTCAAAACTGTTAGCCTGAGAGCTCAGAGTCGTCCTGTGTCCTCCACCGGCTGTAGACTGACTACATCCTCTACGAGTCTGAGAGAGAGGTTTTAACTTCTGTTGTCCACGGCAACGTGGCAAAATCCTTTACACACACCCGGCATCCAGAAGGAGGCAGAAGAGAGACAACAAAAAATGTGCAATTATTTTATAAGAAACATTTTAAAGTTCCTCTTATCTTATTTCGCCTCATTTAAATTGTATTCTCAATTAGTCCATGTAGCCCACAATAATGTCAAACTGTCTAAAATGTAAAAACAGTTTTTGTTTTCGCAACTTCCTGCCTTCCTTGAGAGGCATTAGAGGGCGCCAACTAGCGGATAGAAATGAAAAACCGTCAACGTCGCCGCCATATTGTAAAGGGCAAATAATAAACAATTCATGGTCTGCACAAACAATATTTTTATCACTGACATTGAGGGGTCTTCTATTAAGTTTTGTTAGATTTATTTACATAATAGTAACAACCAGTTTTTTATAGAAATGTGTAACACTGTGGACTTTTGCTTTTATTTTTTGCAAAAATATCTGGAATAAAGCGGAAGTAAGAACGTACAGAAATTGTTAATGTATAAATAGTAATTTATGGTAACCAATTATTAAGTAGATCAACTGCATTGTTTATGACTTAATGTCAGAGGTAGATTAAGGTATACTTAAGAGCATTATGGATCATATATACAGTTATGTTCAATAAATTTCAGTGTGCCATCTGAGTAGAGGAGGCTCTTGATTTTGAAAACAACATAGAAGCATACTAAACGACTGAATTGAAAGAAATAATAGCTTAAAAAGTATGGAGGACCAAAACAACAACTCCACGCGTGTAATTTATATGTATAATGTTTTTCACGTTCTTAAGTGAGTTACTGAAAATAATTACATTTTTCATTAATATCCTACATTTATTGAAAAAGGCCATGATTTCCACGGGAACGGGCCACTCCCATTATGGCGGACAAGCTGCGTCTTCAGTGTTACGGGATTGGCCTGTCTATCATCCAATCACAGAGCTCTGCGTGCTATTCGTTTCTGCAGCCAATCAACTGTTTGTTTATCATGACCGAAGTCCAGTCAGAAATCGAGTTAGACAGGATCGCGGATATCATGCAGTTTGTGAAGATTTTTTTTGTTGTCAAACAGGCTTGCAGTAGTGGTGTTGACGGGAACAGACGCACGAAAAAAAAAAGAAAACAACCAAAACTACTCTGGGCGTGTTTTCCTCCATAAGATCAACTAACTTCACATTTTGAGAATGCTTTTTTGCAATACATGACGTGTAGCATTTCTTCGTTCATGGTACATAGGAGAGACCTCAGTTTCCGCTTGGTGCCTTCGAGGAATAACCAGCAGGATGGCTCGACAATGGATAAACTGTGGGATCAACCATGCTGCTTTTGCATATGCCATGACTACACTGGGGTCATCCATGATCAACAATATTTTTAGCTTCTACTATGTCAAACTCTTTTTGAACAAGTACAATATATCTGAGTCAGCTTTCCACCAATCACAAGTGAGTATGTAAAAGTATTCATCTGTTTAAACGTACTCGTGTTTGCAAAAACTGCTTCCTGTTTTTGCGCACCTAAAAGTCCTGTTATAGATTGTATTATATACTCTGCTCTTTCTTAAACCGGTTATTTACACAAGTAATCTTTTACAATCAACTATTCTATTAATTAGATACTTTTTCCAAACATTATCATCTAATTTAGAATTTACTACAAATGTCTTATTGTCTGCTGTGGCCATTTCCAGAGGTTTTTATCATTTTAACTAGGTTGCTTGCAGAAATTACATAACTTCTATATTTTATTAGAATTCTACATAATAGATTAACAAGGAAATGCTACATGTTTGTAAACACTAGCCCTTATTTAGAGCTGCAATGATCTTTCTATAAACACAGACTGTACTACTACTACTAATAATAATAATAATAATAATAATATGTATGTTTTGCATGTATAATAAAAACACTTTTGTCTGTAAATATGTTTTACCTGAAACTTCTCAGTTCAACCAGTTCAAATTCACTAAATGCCGTTATTGCATTTTGAGTGTATTATGTTGTATATGACTTGAAAATGGTCTCAAAGCATTGTTTGTTAAACGTGTTCTTGGAAAAATTAACCTGATGACCTGAATAAATCTGGCCTTACCTGTTTAAAATAATATGTGCCCACAGGTGGTGTACATGGTGTGGAATGCTGTCAATGACCCTCTGTTTGGTTACCTGCAAGATAACTCCAGGGTGCCTTGCTGCTCTCAGCGACGTCTCTCCATCCTTTATGGCGCTCCTCTCTACTCGCTGTCCTTTCTCATTGCCTGGTTCCCATGGAGCACCTACTCTAGTGGTGACTGGTTGAGTGGCCTACACCTGACAGTGGCGCTGTGTGCCTTTGACGCGCTGTTGACTTTCGTGCTGCTCGCACAGTGTGCCTTATTTGCAGAGATTTCAAGCCACCACCATAATCGTTTAAGACTTATAAAATACAACCAGGTAAGCCCACTGTTTCTTCCCTAAACTCTTTAAAGTTTAAACACTACATCCTACTCATGCCTCGTCTTGTCTTTTCCTCAGCTGGCTTCCCTCATTGGGTCCTCCAGCGTTCTTTTCTGTGGCATGGTGTCGACAAACATGGAAAACTTCAAAGCTTTCCAGGCATTCACGGTGCTCATTGCTATAATTAGCTGCATCTGCATGATGTACACTGGGATTTACAGTAAAAGCCGCTTTGATAGTAAAATATATGAGTTAGTTGATCAAGAGTGTGCCGACAAGGGGGCAAGTAAAACGGCGTGCTCCCTCTCCATGTTGAAGTCGCTGACATGGCAGATTCTCACCAACAGGGACTTCCAGCTGTTTGTGGTCATGAACTTCTTCCAGGTGTTCATTTTGGCTTTCTTTAATAACTTCACCATGATATTCATGGAGCACCTGATTCCCGTAGATGCGCTTCCGTCGCTAGCCAAGAGTTTCATGTATGGAGCAGGATTCATCTTACCACAGGTAAATTTTCTAAGACGCTTCAAGGTTTTGCATAAAAGGATCAATTAGAACCTAAATACTCAAGTTTTATTGGTTAAAACAAATTCTTATGTGTTTTTTTATGTCCATCTGTCAAATTTCTGCAAATTTAAAAAAATATATATTTATGATTTTAACCTCTTGTTCCCTCTGTAGCTTTTGGTTTTGAGTAGTCAGAGTCTTCTGCAAAGTCTTGGCTACTACAAGATCATCCTCTTCACATTTATCTTGGAGGGTGGGATGGCAGTCCTCATGTTTATTCTTGGTCCTCAACGTTACTACTTCTTGGCCTTTTTCCTCACTATTAATATGTAAGAAGCTCTAGCTTTGATTGCACTGTAGACTGTCCTTTGTATATAAGCTTATTTTGTGGTGTGATTCATTTATGCAGGGTTATAATACAAGCAGCCTTCAGTCTCTTTGGCTTGCCGTTGGCGGACATTATTGACACGGATTTGCAGAAATACAAACGCAGGTAAGAAAACACACAAGTACTGCATTTATTCTAAGGCATGTGTGAACATTTGGTTAACAGTATTTCCCAGCTTTCTTGGAAATACCTCAACAGGTATCCTTTTTTGACAACAAATGTTCCCAACCATTTTCATGTGGCTTCCTTTGGAAAATTTCAGAAAATTGCATGACTTAACTTTTCATATGCCTGGTATCAAAACCAAATTCACTGTAGTTTGTTTTTCTCAATGTAAAAGACCAAGTGGAAGAAGAAGTGGTAGAAAAATTATGCAAAGTATGATCTCATTTTTTGCAAATGAAAATTTTAAGAAGTAGTATAATAATATGTCCAGTCCATTTGTCATTTACACTTAAAATCCAAATTTCCAATCAAACTCTCAGTTTAAAAAGAAAATTGAAATGTGACAAATATTCTTGTATACTGATACTTTTTTTACAACTGATATTTATCTTCCACCACGATTAGTGAAGAGAATGTGAAAAGATGTAAATAAATGTCTCCACAGCCCACTTCAGTGAAGAGTGGTATCTTTAGCTCACTCAGTTTCCATAACAACCATTTATTTAGAAAAGCTTTTCACTGGGTTCCAATAAAGGTGGACTATCATTCAAGTTATTATAACTGGTGTTGTTTTTTGTGTTTTTTTAGCTCCCCTCTCTCCTCCATGGTGTTTGGAACAAATGCTCTGTTCACCAAACCAGCTCAGTCTCTGGCTCCCATGATAGTCCTTAATATCATGAACCACTTTGGATATGAGAAGCTGAAAGATGTGGGACAGGAGTCGAATCAAAGGTAGACAGTTCATTGCACCGACGATTATTTATTTTATAAACAGTAAAAACGTTTAGTATGCAGTAAAAGCACAGAATTGAATTCTTTTGTGAATAATTACTCTGCCATTAATTTTTGTTTTAAAACGTAAATTGTTTAGAATGAAAACTAGTTGATCATCTTAAAAGTAAAATCAACTTCTGACGGACAGTTCCAAAAAAATAGAAAATATTTCACAAAATACTCAATTATTAATTATGTTTGAAAAAAATCAAAAATACTGAGTTTAACCCATGTTAACCCAAAAACACACATTCGCAAGTAAACCATCGCCCTTGTGACAATTAAGAAGTTTTAAAATTGAATTTATTAAATCATTTCTAAGTTTATTTCCTTCTTAATTGAGTATATTTTCTAAACTGTTTTTAAATGTAATTGCTACTGTGTTTTCTTGTGTTTTAATGATTACAAACTGTTATTTTAAGCATATTGTTCAACTCCCACAGTTGATCAATATGCTTTAAAAGGTGAAATTTGTGGAACGAAATACATTCTGGCAACTGAACCAAGCACTGCTCCACTTCTTCTCATAGTTTTATCTTCAGCTGAGTCACAGTTAATCATCTACAGATTGTGTCCTACTTCTTTCAGCTCTAAAGTCGCTGGTAATATAATAATTTACTTTGGGTGCTAAATATAGATAAGGTGTATACAAGAAATGGCACAATATTAATGTACTATTATTATAGAAAACAAATGTTTTTGAAACGTTTTTTTTTTAAGAGTTTGCTGGTGAACTAGGTTGAAGGGAGGACCAGCTGCAAATGAAAGTAACCTATGGCTGTTTTGTATCTCCTTGTTTCTAGAGCTCTGGAAAGTCTCCACAGTGTTATGTTCTACTTGGTCTGTCTGATACCCATGTGTGTCGCCATTCTGCAAGTTCTGGCTTGGAGGCCATTTTCCATCCGCAACAGTCACACAGTTGATTCCAAGTACATTGACACCTAGTATCAGTGTCCTCAGAGTGGAAAAGATAAGCTTCCACTGGATGGTTTCTTTTTGTGACTGCTGGAGATGGGCACCAGCACCCTTCCCAACCCTGGAAGGATAAACGTGTTAGATGACGGATGAATACATGGTTTCTTTTTGTTGGTGTTTCGGGGGCCTCCTTCATTAATCTTGCTAAAGTATATGTATTTTTAATTTGATAGGTGATGAGGGAAACATGGGAAAAGCGCATTCTCTTTAAAGACATTATAAGGTAATAATTTGACCTTTTACAGGTCCTAAAGTCTAATGAGAGGTGCTGGTCACACTTGTTGCTACTTTCTCTGTTGAATTTTACCAAATCTGAAAGGGTTTATGTAGGCTTCCATTGTGGTGTTGCTTTTCTTAAAAACTGGACTCTGATGTATGTTTTGTACATTTTAGATTATATGTAAATAATGTTAGGAGCTGATAAAGACCAGATCATCCTAATCCACAAAGCCTTGACCTCAAACAGGGTGTACTTTATTTCCCGGTGTCTATAACAGTTTTCAGTGAAATAATATTGAGTTAGATAGAAATCAAACTCTTCTTAATATTTGACTTATTTAAAAAATACAAAGGGCTGCACAGTGGCGGAGTTGGTAGCACTGTTGCCTTGCAAGCAAGAAAGTTCTGGGTTTGATTCCCGGCCCGGGGTCTTTCTGCATGGAGTTTGCATGTTCTCCCTGTGCAGGAGTGGGTTTTCTCCGGGTACTCCGGTTTCCTCCCACAGTCCAGAACCATGTCTCTGTGTTACCCTGTGACAGACTGGCAACCTGTCCAGGGTACAGAAAATGGATGGATGAAAAAAAAAAAAAATCTATCAAAGGAGGACAACCTCCTCTCGTGATTTCCAACATCCACAGTGTCAGGTTTCTTCTAGCTGTGGTGTAAAAATAAGATGTGTGTTAACTAACTGTGACTTTAAATGATCTGTCTGACAAACCCAGTCATGATTCTAGGTCTGTGCTGTCCTCTGCACATCCATTAAGGAAAAAAAAAAAAAAAATCAAAATCACCCACTCTGCATTAAGTCGACGGAGCAAAGTACCTCAAAAGAACAACAGTAATCAAACTTATTTTGTTGCAAAAGAAATCATCTTGAAATGTTTTTGAGTTTACAACCCATGATTCCTTTGAACTAATGCGTGTCTAATGTTTTACCTTCACACTTTTACAGTCGCATTTCAGGTTTGGTCTTTGTCTTATTTCCATTTTCTGCCCTAACATAAAGCTAAAAACTGTTATTTTAAGTTTCTTTGAAAGCTATGCATTCATAAAATAGAAAATGAGTAGATTTATTTTACTTATGTAGGCTCTGATAGCTGTTTTTTGTTGTTGTTGAAGAAAATGCATTAAAAACAATGCAAGTTATGTTTATAATAAATGACAGTGAGCTCAGTTGCATGTAATATTGACAACACACTCCAGCGTGTATGCAAAAATAGGTTAATCTTTATTTACCTTGAAGAAACAGAATAAAATGTAAAAAAAAAAAAAAAACATGAAAGATGAGGACCTTTATGAATATAACTTACAAGTGAAAACATGCAGTACACGGTTTCACAGGAAAAAAGTTTAGTAGGAAATGTCACAATGATTAAAAATCAATTGCAGAAATAAAACTTAAATACCAGATTTAATTTGAAAATGGATTAGAGCCATTCCTTTGTAGGAGATGTATATGTCAAATGAAATTTATGCTGAATGAATCTGTGTTGTGTATGCATATGAAACTTTAAATGTCCACTGTCCACTGTCACAGCTGAATTATTATTAGAGTTGCCTTAATATAAACTGGTGCAATAAAGATGATATTTGCTTATTTCGTAATGTCAATGCCAACCTGTTCTGCTTTTATTTGTTCAAATCATTGTGAGGTATTATTAAAAGAGATTTTAAACATATTTCCAATTTTAAACATGATTCTTAAAGTAACAAGCAAAATTCCCCAAGGTAATCTTTATTTTTCTATTGTTTTACCTACAAGGAGGCACAGTTCCTGGTGTGTTTCTGCAGGCAACAGCTCTTCTGACTGACATGCATACAGCATATGAAGAATAGATTCAGAACCTAACAAAGTTTGATGCTAACAACCTGATTTTGAACACCAGAATAGACAAATTATTGTTATAGTCCAGTACTATGTAACACAGAGGGAACATGGAGTGTGACCAGTTTTAAGTTCTCAAAGAGGAAGTTAAAGAAACTGCTGATCAGTTATCAAACATGCACAACAGAAAGCGTTTTAAAGAACAGCATGATATCTTTGTATTGCAGCAGCACCAAAGACTATGAAAGAAAAAAGGCATATGCAAACTTTACCAGAACCAGGTTTATGATAAAACTGGATTGTTGGCCTCAATGTGCAATGACATTCGTGTTCAAAAGATTTAACAATTTCTACTGTTTTTAGAGACATTTGTAATATTTTCATTTTATTCTCAAGGCTTTATAGGAATATCACAGCAACAATTGTCTATGCTACATTCAAAGCCTTATTGATCTGTTAGACATTTTAAATGTCGCAGAATAAAACTAATAGAACAAACCCCTTAAGATTTCTTTGGCATATTTATTATAAAAGTATTTTGTTGGTTCAAAAATGCAGTTTTTTCTTTCAAATAGGAAAAAAAAATCAACCAGTGCCTAAAAGAAATAAAGAAATATAAAATATTATGACCGTCTTCTTTGCAGTGATGAATCAAGGCTCTCTGTATAAAAGCAACGCAACCCACCAGAGTCTGGGTTTCCATGACTACTTTTTGTCAAGATTAAAGTTTGGTGAAGAAGGGATGTTAGTTCAGAAGTTTTACATGCCAAAACAATGTATGTCTATGTAGGAACAATTTTGGGATGTTCACTTCTGTGACTGGGCACCAAACCATAAACCAAAACCCATAAAATGATGGATGATCTTGTCTGGTGTGAAAGAACTTGGCTGCCCTGCACAGATTGCCGAACTCAGCCCGACAGAACACCTTTAAGATGAATGAGACTGTGACCAAAGTCGTCCAACATCAGTGTCTGACCTCATTAATGTACTTCTGGAACAATGGTTCAAAAATTCTCATGAACAAACTCCTAAATCTGCAATTAAAACGGGACGTCATTCATATTAAAAGCAAGTGACCGAAAGTTTTGGCAATACAGTGTCAATCATTTACAGAGCGTGACAGGACTTTACAATTCACAAACTGAATTAAAAAGAAAAGAAAGAAAACATCAACCTTACAACAAAATCTTACATAGGATCTTTACACAGCACTGTAAAAATGTATTATTTTACTAATGTTGCTGTCTAAAACCACCTATTACATAAGGATGCATGCCATGTTCAACTTTTGGATCTATGTTGACTGCTTAAAACAACTATTTCTCATTTAATCCTCTGTTCTGCGCTGCATAAATGCCTCCAATTACAGCTCCAGAATAAACCTGCATGTACTAGTTCATCTGAGCAGAAAGTTTGAACAGAACTATGGAAAGAGACAGTCAATGTGACACTGCTAAAAACCCTGAGTCAGCATCATTACTGTGCAGTAAATGTCTCATTTCATTGGTAAACTTGAGCAAAGGTCCAACCAGTCCCCTGACTCATTTGTCCTTCCATTTGCAACAGAACAGTCGCCTCAGGCACATGTTTCGTAGCTTCATAACATCCTCCTGTTATTTAACAGGGTGAGATGACCATTAGACATTTTGGTAGATGTCGTCGGTAGAGATGTTGCTGTGCCCACTTGCTGCCTGGAAAGACATTAACACATTTTTTTTTCTGTTTAAACATAATGCAACAGTAGGTGTTATTGCAGTGTTTCTGTTGAGTAATTTTGACGCTGATGTGCTGCAACATAATTTACCCCAACTTGGGAACCGTTTCCTCTTGTGCTTTGTTTCCTTTTGTTCACCATCGTCCTGCTGTGGAGTTCTTGCAGTACGTCTCTGAACTGTGTTTTCTTCCTTACGCTATTCTGCTGGTAAATGTTTCAAATGATCAATAAAACATATTCAGAGGTTTAATTTTTGTCACGTGTATTTGAAGGTACGTCGAGTGTTGCAGTCGCGGTGTTTCGAGAGCCTTTTCAGTCAGGGATTTACTGCGCCTTCGATTTTGTTCCTCTTTTAACGCATGGGCTTTTCCCCTCACTTAGAAAACAGTTTACACAATAGAAACACAATTTTTTTTAAAAAGAGACACTTCAATTACCGTTTCAGTTTTAGAGCTCTTGTTGCTGAAGGTCAAGTTACAGTCACGCTGGAAACAGAAAAATAAAAGTTTTTTTGCAAACTTTCAGTTTTTGTTTTGTATGCATGATTGTTGACATAAGAGATATTCATGATTTACCTTCCTTACTATGATGAGCGTAACCAAAGCCAAGCTGTAGATGGCTAAGAGGGTAAATAACACCCACACAAGAATCTTCCACAGCATTACCTTAGGTTTTCCTGGAACATAAAAGAAGAAATTAGTTATCTGATTGACGTCACCAACGCGTCGATAAGCTATATTTTTTCCAAGCTTACGGTCTCCTTACCTCCCACTACAAGAAGAGTCCCATTTGCTACAAAGGGTTGGCAGCATTCTGTCTCTTTTGCAGCACAGAGGTAAAGCCCAGTGTCGTTGCCATTAACAGAATCGATGTTTAAAAGATTTTTTTGTATGTTGTACCTTTGGGTCTGCATAAGACGCTTATGGGAATCCTTTTTAACAAGAAACCATTCGAACTCCAGTTCTCCAGCTGAACAGTGTGAATAAATGCTGCAATTTAGAACAGCTTTTTCACCTATATTTTTCCACATCAACTGTTGCTTCTGAAACAAGCATCTCTCTGATTTTTCTGTGTGTCCTGGAATATAGAGCAACAAATAACCTTTGATTAACTTCCACCTTTAAAGTCTTTTAGAACAATAGCAGGTTTGCTGTCAAATCAAAAGTCACTTTCAAGGATTTACATTGTACTAATGTGGAACTGGGGAATCAATAGGTATGTAATTCACCAAAAGATATGTTCATTTCTTACCTGTCCCGGCCAGGTGCACAAGCAGGAAAAGCAGCCAAAGCATTCGCTTCATGTCTGTAGCTTAACAGCTTGTGAGTGATCTTATGATTTCCTGAATGAGGTGATGAGAAATGACTACAACATGGGAAGAAGGTTGTATTAAACTTCCTCAACTCTAACTTCCTTATTTAACTCCACTAAGCAAATTACAGCTACAGCATTTTGAGTGGAATACATTTCTAAGCTTATTACCGTGTCACAGCTGCTTAACTTTTCCACATTTTGTAATTTTACAAAATGTCAATGTATTTTATTAGGATATACATTTCCAAACTTTCTCGATTCCAGTCAAATTGGATGGAGGAAGTCTATCAACCACAATTGTTAATGATTGCGACAGGTTTCCTGTTGAATTAAGGCCTGTGTTTTGCCTGGATTTGCACATGGATTTATTTTGGCCTGAACTTTTGCATTATAGCTCCAGTTGCTTGTTTTAGAGTTGTTTTTCTGTAGGTTTTCTTCCAAGATTGTCCTTTTATTTATATCAATTTTTCCATTAAGTCTGATCTGCTTCCTACTTCCCTTTCCCCTGCTGAAGAGTCTCTATGTGAAAATTGTTTGCTTAGAGTAATCTGCAGTGATAATTTTGTTCCACTTTGTATTGTAAGCCAGACGGTTTAATTGCACATATTCTTCCCCTTGTCGGTATACCATAACTCTGTGGCCGTCCTGTGCAGAAAAAAACATTTTCACATTATGTCACCACTCTAAGGTTTCTAGATATTCACTGTGCATGGTTTGTAATAAACCTTTTTTTATTTATTTTTTTACTATTGCTTATTGCCACTTTGACATAAGGATCAGATCTGTGATCTACACTGCAAATAGCTGTCTTGTAGATTTTGGGATACCTCTTCATTGATGCTCTTCTTGAACCTTATGCTCTTTGTTGTGCCACACAGTCATGTGCAGGTACACTGTTTTCTCTATAACTGCCTTTTTAAGACAATTGCTTGCACTGGGATTTTATTTTGGAGTATAAGAATAATAGGAGCTGAATACAAATGATTACCACACTTTTCACATTCATTTGTTTTTAAAAAAGAAAAAAAAAACATATTAATCGATTCTTCTTCACTATTTTACTCTACTTTGTGCTATTAAGAATAAAAAGGCCTAGTGCTTAAACTGAAAAGACGTAAAATCATCAAAAATATGAATTCACCCTGAAAAGGAGCCGTCACTAGAACTCAGAGCTGACATATTGGCTTGTAATGCGTTATAACCTGCCGCGGAAAGCTCCTTTATCAGCTTTTCTCTACGTATATTAATTCTTACTACCATGCAAAAATTATGAAAGAAAATTAACTAAGTGACCCACCGTATAAGGGCTTGTGATGTTCCCTCTTCTGTTCAATTTCTGTAGGCGGGGCCATTTGTGCTGTCAGTCACGTTTCCGTCCAATCAGAGATGAGCTTTGTGTTATCAGCCCGCCTCCTTCCACGTCGACCTGCACCTTCGCCATATTTTCAACCCTGTGGATCCCGCAGATTTGTGTTCCCCTCTAAGTTACTAGGAGAAGACTTGTAAGGCAGCAGAACGCGTCACTTTGAGTCGGAGTAAATAGTGAAACCTTTATCTTTCCAGCTCTTTCCCCTTGTAATTCCGCTCTGCAACAATGAACATCTTCAGACTGACAGGAGACCTCTCTCATCTGGCTGCTATCATCATCCTGCTACTTAAAATATGGAAAAGCAGATCTTGTGCAGGTGAGCTTCGACTTTAGTATTGTCGTATTATAATATGCTGTATTGTGGCGTTCCTGATGACGTTTGTTAAGCTTGACCTCTGTCTTCAACTAGAATGTGTGTTATGAGTCTTGATCAGTAGCCTTTCTGCCAGCTAGCTTCACATGCTAATGGTACTGGTCATTCATTTGAGCCAAAGGCTAACGGCTAAAAGTAGAGCTAACTGTTAGCAGTCAAAAACTGCTGTTTGTAATTCCATACATCCACAAAACAGCCCGCCTAATCAATGATTTCTGTTCACTTGAAGACATATGTTGTAGCTTGGGGGAATGTCTACTGTTGTAACGGTATATGAATGATCTTTGCTGAGTAACTGTGGTTTGATTTGCTGCGAGCTGCACTCCGTTGTATTTGTGCTGCTTAGTAGAGATTATTATTAATATCATTATTATTTATGATTAGGTTAAGTTAATCTTTTAAATATAAACTGCTGAATTCACACTGGGTGGTTTTTGCCAGCTCTACACCCCCAGAGATCCTGCTCTGAGGTTTGTGGATTGACTTTTTTGGTCTGTTCTCTGACGTGGCGCTGTAGGAGAAGCTGCGGAAGTTAGCAACATGCTAAAGCTTTCTCTTTTAAATTAAGGCGAGACGGAAACTGTAACAATCTAAGGAGGGAATTAGTTTTTGTCACAGTACTGTATAACGTCATTTGTTGCAAAAAAAAAAAAAGATGTAAAAAGTTTAAAACATCACAATATCACACAATATCCAACATCAGTGACCAACAGCAGAGACAGTATGAAACGATGCAGTCCAGAGAACAGCACTATGTACTGGACATTGATTCAGATAGTTTAACATTTCTGATTAACAGATTGTTTGTATACAAAACAAGGTTTTCAAATGCCCTCGTATTTTCACTTGTTAGATTACAGGGTCAATACTTTACTTCAATTTGAGAAATCTGATTTATAGCCTTATGAGTATTTGCTTTTGAGGTGTTTAAAACAATTCTTTATCTAATTCACTACATAAAATTTAATTGTGGGTTATTGTGTTCAAACACCCACAATTTGATATGTCAGCGTTTGGTCAGGTAGCCTGATTAAGGTTCAGTTTCCAATAGGAAAAAAAAGCTAGAATTATTTTTTTTTTCTTATACAGCTTTACACAAGTTTCAAAGTATATTGAGGATAATATCCAAGGGATTTGGTATTATCAAAAAAATATTTTTGGGGTGGTTTGAAGTCATTTCCAGTAGATGTCAGTATGCTACAATGAAAAGCCTGACTTGTGAGTTTTCCAGACTGTTTTCCAGCCCACAGCCTACCGAACTGAAACTTTGTATCTGCTGATATTTTCCTGTTAAAGGCATCTCTGGGAAGAGCCAAATTCTCTTTGCCCTGGTGTTCACCACACGTTACCTGGATCTCCTCACCTCTTTCATCTCGCTGTACAACACATTCATGAAGGTGAGGTAACTGTTAACCAAACATACAAGTGCTGTTTCTTTGTGCGTCGCCACTGATGAGCGCTTCTTTGCTGCTCATCAGGTAATATACATTGGCTGTTCGTACGCCACCGTTTACCTGATCTACATGAAGTTCAGGGCCACCTACGATGGAAACCATGACAGTTTCAGGGTGGAGTTCCTGATTGTTCCTGTTGGGGGTCTCGCTGTTCTCATCAACCATGACTTCTCTCCCCTTGAGGTTTGTTTAAAACTGTTGTGGGGTATCCAGACTAACTTGTCTAGGTTATAAACAGCTATTCATAATGAGAATATATTGAGTTTATGGAGAAGAACCTTGTAGTCAAGCACGGCAGAGGATCAATGATGGTGGGGGGCTTTTTTTTATTTTTTTCTTCCCACTGGAAATTTTAAATGTAAAAGTGGTGGATTAACAATATTGACTTTGTCAACAATAATTATTCAGAATGTATTGCCGACTTGTTTTCTGTGGTGTTTTTAACTAAAATCTCTTTGTCTGCAGATCCTTTGGACGTTCTCCATCTACCTGGAGTCTGTGGCAATCCTGCCACAGCTCTTCATGATCAGCAAAACTGGAGAGGCCGAAACCATCACCACCCACTACCTGTTCTGCCTGGGCCTGTATCGGGCCCTCTACCTATTCAACTGGATTTGGCGTTACTACTTCGAGGGTTTCTTCGACATGATCGCCATTGTGGCTGGCGTGGTCCAGACTGTCCTCTACTGTGACTTCTTCTACCTTTATGTTACCAAAGGTGGGTCATGTTCTCAATTTGCACCTGGAAATTGCCAAACACGATGGCTCAAAGCATTAAAAAAAAAGGATGAGCATCTGTTTTATTGTCTATAGACAAATTGAAAGTGAATTCTTAGTCACTTGTTGGGATAATTTGTTGATTCTCATTTAGATGGATGGTTTCTGGAATATCTCTTCCTAGAATAACATTCATTCATGTTATCTTCTCTGCTTGTTCCCTGAAAAACCTCACTGGAAAGTTCATCCTTAGCTGATTGGAGGTTTCAGACATCTAAAATTCCTGAAAGGAGCAATTATTTTTTTACAAAGTCTCGAGTCATATTTGCCGATTATGATCCCGTCATTCTGCAATAAATCAGAGGATACATAATCCCAGTTCCTCACAGAAAAATTGTTGTGCTGGAACACTTGACGTGCTCCGCGAATTTCCTCTCATGTGCCTGAGGCGTAGCTAAAATAATTTGCCACAGTTCAAGATATTTTCAAGGTATTGACATCACAACTATCCACTGGATACCACAGCGAGAACTTAGAAACATGCTGTATAGTCTAACATTTTTGGGTTTTCACTTGCTGTGACTTACTATAGACAGTAATTTCAGTAGAGATGTTTCAGAACCCTATACTTATTCATAAGTTTGCGTGCAGGTTTTGAAGAAGCTCCAGATGTCAAATAAAATTGGGGAATGGTCCTTTATCAAACCATTAAATCAAAATCCACTATCGATATCTTGTTGTTTTTAAGGTTTTTGAAACATGCAGACAATAAAATTCAACTAGGCAAATGTCACATGTGCTCAATTCGTTTATAAATTACCACAAAAAATTTTAAACTTGATGCTGGGAATTTGGAATCAGAAATATTAGTAAACCTGTGCTGTGATTTTAGTTGTCAGAGGTTCATTGCACAAAGTAGGTAAATGAAAGAAGGGCTACCTAAAAAAAAATAAATAAATAATAATCATCATCTAGATGGTTAAAACGTGGACACAGTTGGGTGTTCCTAAATTATAATAAACCCAAATGCACAACTAAAATGGCTTTTGAATGTATATAAGTTTCTAGAGTAACCATATTGGAAATATATGAACTATGCTTAAAAACTGAATCCATGCCTTAAAACTAATCTAAAGCTTCTTAAAGAGCCAAAATAATGACCAAAATGTCATGTTATATAGTTCCATTACTGCTTAAGTTTTTAATGCTTTTGAATCTTATGTTTCCTTTTCATGTTCAGCACTTTGCTTCAGTTTGTGGTTTTAAATAATCTGACAATGATTTATGAAAAGGACATCCTCTAAACCTAGGCAGTTCTAGTTATGGTTTCTAAGTGACGTCCAAGTTTTTTTTTGTTTGTTTTTTTTTTCCCCTCCCTGCAGTGTTGAAAGGTAAGAAGTTGAGCCTGCCGGCATAAAGACAGACTGGAGGAGACGGGGCAGTCCCAGCAGACTCAGGGGGCGCGGAGATGACGTTGTGGAGTCTCATGAACGACGGCAACAGATACCTGGAACGACCAACTATTGGGGGGAATAAAAACACTAGTCGTCTTGATGATTGCTCATGGAACTGGTAAATGCCAACAAAACACCGGCGCTGAACAAAGATCATCGACTTTTGGATTTCTATGTTCAGCATCTTGCCTTAAAACTTCTTTTCATTGCTGTTCAAAATAGGATACATTGCTCCTTTCTTTTTTTTTTCTTCTTTTTTTTTTACATGTGAGGTGTATACCCTTGTTTTCTGTTATTACATAACGTCACACAAAAGGTAGACTCTGAGTACCTTGTTTGACTTTAACTTGGTAAAATAAGAAAATGCACAAAATGTACAGTCTTATTAAAGAGTGAGATAAAGCATAATGTATCAGAGTGCCTGATGAGGATTATGTCCATTTTCTCAGTGTTTTTGTTCATTTATCTAAAAATCTTTTGATTATTTGTGTAGCTATAAGCAAATATGCTTTGAGGAAAAACATTCAACGAAGCCAATATTAGAAGTGCTTTTTTTTTTTTTTTTTTTTGTAAATTGTGCTTTAGTAAGATGAAACTAAACATTTTAACAGGTTATATGTTTAAAGATCACAGATTTTTACGGGGAGCTCATAGAGGGATTTTGACTATAAAATGTAAAGTGTAGACTGGATGATCAAAGTACCAGCAATCATTTTGGCACATCAGTATTTTCAAATGGTGCTCATTTTGTTTAAAATTCCATTTCAGATGTGTTCACTAGTCTTTATCACTTATATGTAGAGTTCAATAAAATTCTAAAGCGTTGTATTGTCACATTTTCGGAGCAGATGGAGCCTCAGGCCTGGTTTTAGCTGTTATTGCACTCCAGAACCAAACTCATGAACACCTTCCAGTAGTTTCTCCATAGTTTTTTTATTTTCCAAACCTGAAACTGGGGTTAAAAAGAAAAGATTGCCATGTTTCTTAGAAAAATCCTCTGGCATGTTGACTAACTTTTGTATCTCAGCTGATTTGTTTCTGTTCTAAATGGGCTTTTGAGCACAGTTCTGCCTTTTTTTTAATTGCTTTCTAACTGAGTAGGTGTGATGTTGTTCAACGAGTGCATTTCTGTTAAATCAAAAGGCCCCGTCAACTTTATCTAAGTAGGCATTCCTATAGGGGTTTCCAAATTTTGTCAATTATTTTTTTTTTGTTTTCTTTTTTGCATGAGATCACCTCCATTAAAGATTTTATTATAATCAAAATTAAGTGGCTTGTTTGATTACTGAAAAAAAAAAACTGGAAGTTCACTGCATATAATTGTAAAATTCCTTATAAAAAATATTCACTTTTTTTTTTTTAATTATCTACTTTGTCACACAACCACTGATCTTGAGGGATTTTATTAGAATTTGATGTTTGACAAATGGTGCATAATTGAGGCAAAAAAAAAAATCTCACCATTTTTTATGAATTTTTGTTCAGCAGCTTTTATTACAATACAATTTTTAATCTGTTGCAATCAGTTACCTTCAGAAATCATGTATATAGTATTATAATTAAGCTCAGTGGAAATCCAGTTGTTCTATGAAGACCTTAATGGTTTGTCAGAAAACATTAGCGAACCTGCAGCTACAAGAAGACCAACAAACACAGCAGACCTAATTAGGTTTAACCTAAGTGAAACATAAGGTTGAGAGATCAAAAGTACCTTTTGAAAATTCACTATCAGGTCCCACCTCAGGTTTTATCATTTGACTCAAACTTCAAATACTTGCACAGCAAGCAGGCAATGGAAACTTCAAACTAGGTGCAGCAAATTCATGGAAAGAGGCAAACATTAAGGAGAACCAGAGGATTTAAATGGATGTGGGATTGGATGATGACATAAAGACGAAGGGGAATGTTCTGAAAGGACTGAATCAGTCACCTGACCTCGACGGAAGAGAGGACGCTTTTCACAAACTTGAGAGGAAATTCCAGAAGTCGGCTGCTGGAAAATCACAAATACTTTCATTGATTTTGATGTATGTTTTAAGTTTTCTGTTTAATTCTGCTCTCTACTTCATTAAAGTTTAAAGACTACATTTTAAGCAAAATTTAGGTGATGGGAACATTACCGTTTCATATGACAAAAACTTCTAAGAATATGCAGCACTCGACACAGATCGAGCAAATTGTATTTTGGCCAATTGCTCCACAAATCCACCGATAATTTTTTCACAGTAAAGCCACAAACTTTGATGCATTTCCCTGGTGTGTCATGTGACACAAGCACAAGGCGTGCATAACTGGGAGGAGGAAGGAAAATGACATTGTTTCAAAATTTTTCACAAATAAAAATCTGAGAAGTGTGGCATGGAATTGTCTTTATAATAGTTTTCGAAGCACCTTTACGTGCAATCACAGATGCAAGTATTGCAGTTTTTTTTACAGGTAGTCACAATGTTATATTTTTGGTTTGATCAAACAGGAACACCTTCTTCCACATGCATTCTCTGTCCCGTCCTTGACTTGTGGCTTTTTTTTTTTTTTGCCCATTTATGATACAGACCAAATTTGTGGCCATCAAAACATGTTTTTCCTGGCAAGCAATTCTCAAGTCTTGGTTTCTCTTCAGCTGCTCCTCTTGACCCATTCTCTTCATATGTTGTCTTTTTCTAGACTATCAGGGAACATTTATAGTTTTTATTTTTTTGTAAAAACTTAAAACCATATATATAATTTTTCTTTTTCTCTTAAATAGTTACTACTTTGTGTTTGTGTATTGCATAAGACCACCTCAAAATCAGTAAATCCTTGTGCAGTTGCAAAGTACTGTATATGAAGGCCATTTTAAACAAAATCCATTTATTTCTTCCCAATATGTGGAAAACGCAAATGAAGAAAGAAAGCAAAATATGTTAATTATACACAAAATGTCTTAAAACAGATTTTACAAAACTGTACTTCAAAGCACAACAAGCAGTGTTTTTGAACAAACCTTTAGAAAAAGCAGCTTAGTCTGAAGTTCATGATAATTAAATGAGGAGCACAGAATTCAGTGAACGTGTTAATAGAGATTGAAATCGGTGAATCATTTTTTTTTCCATCTGTTCATGATAATTGATCGTATGATAAAGCAACTTTCTGCCAGAAAATCTTGGCTTTTATCCCACATAATGCTGAAAGCAAACGCGCCACATACATGGCAGGCAGTCTTAATGTTTTGACACTTTAGTCACACTTCAAGTACAAATTATACAATAAGAAAAAAACTCTCTTTAATCGTCAGCATCAAGTGTTTTGCATTGGTTCCCTGAAGCACTAGAATAAACAATTTTTTTCTAAAACTGAGCTCTTATTGTCAGAAAATAGTTTTTCCATGTGTGCATTTCATTTAAAAACCTATAGAATTACGATTGAAAGAATGCAAGATAAAAATACTTTTACTTTATTATAGCGTTAATGCATTGAGAACAAAATTAATAACTTGGATGATAAATATGATGCAAACAAACAAAACCTCGAAGCAATTCTTAACATAAACGTAGAAATTTTGGCAGGAGACGGCACATAAAACATAAAGTCTGGGTTACAATCTCTCCTCCTCCTGCATCAAACATCAGCTCACATGAGGATGACTAAATGCTTAATGCTCCGGTTAGTTTAAGTACGGTCTCGGCTATTAATACCACAACATTTGCCCCTGGGATTTCTTGTAAGAAAAAGGAATATTAGATTCCTAGAAATGATTAAAATGACCATGAAGGAGACTAGTGGTCTGATATGCTTTTTACTGTGTAATATTATTATTTAACAAACTATATAAATATAATATACTTTTTGTAACTAAAAATGGACCTAGAACACATTTGGAGGAAATGTGCTGCTATAGTTGCATCACTGTCCTGAAACAGGATGAAGGTTTGACCTGTTCAACAGAGATCAGCTCTTAAACCCGAATGGGAGAAGTGAGCAGTATAGACACTCATACATATATTGCACTGTAAACAAATAAAACTTCACACTCCTTTCACTGATGCAGCAAGGACACTTGGTGTTCATAAAGAAGAGACCTTGGCAGAGGTTTTAAGCTTAGCAGCTCAGATCCTGAGCATCTTCTGTTGAGCGGCGCCAAAACGCCAGGCAGAGAGAAGACGGGGACATTTCCCTACTGCTGCTTCAGTCCTGGAGTCTCTTCTTCACTCTACTTCTTCTAGTTCAGGAGAAAAGGAAGCAAATGACCAAATGACGGTCAAAAGTTAATAACAGAGGCCACAAACTGTAGATTTTACAATGCATTTTTATTCTGGCCACTTTTCACCACTGAAGGGTGTGATCGACACTTTTTCACTGCAAGTCTGGCTGCATCTTCAGGGACGGAGCAAGGAGACCCTCCTCTCCAGTTTCTAAACTTTTGCATCTTCTTGGATATTTCTGCATTTACTTTAAGAGACCTTACTGCAGCATGTTTCGCCATGGGGATAGCACATTCAGAGTTATGTGCAGTGAGAGTTTTCCGCTGCATGGTGTGTGCGTGCCTGCAGAAAAGTTCACCGCTTGTCTCATCTGATCAGAACTCTCATGGTTTCTACACGTCTTAATCCAAAATGCAAACATGACTACTTGTAGCTTCCCTTCTACAATTGCTTTCTTCACATTCCCAATAAAATAAGGAAAAGTTTCTGGTTTAAATGTTAAAAAGAGGCGCTCTACATCTGTCTGGGGTTGTTCCCTTTACCTTTGTCACATGAGGGTAGAAATTCCTCAGCAAGTTGGGAATGGTGACGAACACACCGGTAACGATGATCGAGACCACCAGGGAGAAGAGGGCGATGCCGGAGAGCACAGACAGCAGAGTCATTCCTCCAACAAACAGCAGAAACACTAAACGGAAGAATTAAAATCAGCTTGACGTAGAAAGAAAAAAACAAAACAAAAATACATTATTGAGTTTGAGATGTTGCAACGTACCCTCAAAGAAAACAAACCCCACAACCGACATAACTATCGTAATGAGGGCAAACAAGAGGAAGAGCCCAACAGGTAGAGCAGCCATGGCGCTGAACAGCAGCAGAGCGAGAGCTAAGAAAGGCCGACGGCGGAGGTACTGCCCGGCCTTTGTACTCATCACCTGTGCCATCTGTAGGAGAGGAAAACACACCTGGAAGCTCCAATTTGCCAAATAAGTGGAGAAAACACAATGGATGACTGAGGAATGTCAGTCAAATACAGGTGGGACGTTTGGGCTGACCTTGGGATCCTCTTGAAGGCGGTTCATCAAGGTCAGCCATCTTTCTCCCAGCTGCTGAGTCAAGCTGCTGTTGCTGCTGTGACGCTGCATCTCAACACACCTGTGAAAACAAAATCAGCCACAAAACACTCTCAGAGATATTCATAGTTCTTAACCTGACTGTGCCTCTGAATTCTTGTCCAAAACTTTCAATTTAAAAGCTTTTTTTTCCCCTTTGTCTGACTGCACCTTCTTGAATACACAACTCAACTTTGATGCAGACGGGGAGACAAAAGTGTAAAAATGTTATTTTGCGGTTGAAATGCAATTGAAAAAGTAAAACTCTTAAGTAGATTGCTTACACACACAGGGTTATATTTCAGTCATTTCAGTTAATTTTGATGAATAGGTGTATGTATTCTTTTGACAAATTCAACTGTGCAGTTTCTTTTTTTAAGATGCTTAGTCACACATTTAAAAAGAAAAAAGAGAAATAAACGTTTTCTGATTTAAATATTGAAAATGTTTGTTTCTTTCCATGTTTATTTCTTTCCACCTTAAATGAAAATTAGAAACCGAGCTTTATATCCAAGAGAATATCCTTAGAGTGGCTTTCAGCTAATTCAGAAATTCCTCACAACAAAGATTTCAAGGTGGGATATGTTGGATTTTTCCAAACGACTCACTATATAAGACAAATCTTAACTTGATTGAGGTTTACTAATACATATTTCGGCCATAATAGGCTACAATAAATTGAGTCAGGTCAGCAATAAACGACATCTCAGGACACTACACGCACCAAAAATGTGCAATTTGTACCTGTATTAATTAAACCCATATAATCCGAAAACATAGACACACTCAAAATCTAAGGTTTAAATGCAAACATTCAAACGTTTGCAATTTAATTTTTCATACTGTAAGAGGAATGAATGAGCTGCGGAGCTGTAAAATGTAAACAAACCCAAGTGGAGAAGTGAAACGTGTTCATGTGCACGTCTGAAACAGAAGAGCCATCACGAGTCCATCCAACAAGTCTTTACAAAGAGATGCAGGCTAAATCTGAATTAGTATCTATTTAATTAAAAATAATGCTGAAATGAAGGTTTACGCAATCCGAGACACTTTACTGACACGTATACGATCAGAAACAGACCTAAACTTAATGTTTCTGGAGTCACGACGAAGTTCTGCTGGATCCACATACCTGGGAAAAACGCTCACAGTGACCCTGCTTTGACCTTCAGCACCTCGCTGCTCTCAGCATAAAACACCAAATCCTGAAGCTTCCCACAGCTCTTACAAACCATGGTGAGGAACACACCCTTTAAATAAGCACTCCTCTTTGTTTCCTCCCCCATGTTCCTCCTCCGGATTCTTCATGCTGCGGCTGCTGGGACTCACTGCTGCCCTCTGCTGTTGACTAAAGATACTGGAGCACAAGTGGTTTTCAACAAGATATTCATGTATTATTTAAAATCCGATTGACAATATTTAATTTGACATTAAACAGCTTAACCGACAGGCTAGAATGTTTACCAAGCTATCGGGTATATATTTCAAATTATTTTACTATTATTTTTTAAAGACGCAAGTTGCCATAAACTGGTTTGCCCAGCCCAATGTTTAATGCTCTACTGCCACCTTGTGGTTATTGTGAGCTTATGTTTTCTTCAACCAGACTTAATTGATAATTGTTTTGCTTTTTCTGTCGGACCGAAGAAAATGTTTAATTAGTAACAAAGAAGTTACAGCAGCACAATCAGCAAGAAACAGATGACAAACATTACTCTATTTAAACGTTTTTCCAATATCTTCGCTCTGGAAACTTTTGTATTTTACTTTTAGTATAAGAAATGTACCGGGATGATTTCATTTTTAAAATGAAATTAAATTGACTTGAATTTTAATTTGGATACATGAGCATACCAAAAGTCAGACCAAAACAATTTCTCCCTAGCTATTTCTTTAAATTAATTAATTTAATCTATGCATTTGTTTATTACTAATTCTGCTTTTTGTGCTTAAGTCTATAAAGAGTATGACTTTTTTTTTTTTTTTGGCGAACCAACCAACCCAACCTCTTTAAAGCCAACAGAAGACAACAGTTATTCTGACGATCTTTTTTTATTTAATTAAAAACAAACTAACTCTTTCAAATTAGCCAGATTTGTTCTGAGGATTATTTTAATTTAAGAAAAGCAATTGTGACTTTAATAAATTTGCAATGAAGTGGGATCTTTGCATGATAATAACGCTTAACAGTTGAAATATGAACAATATAATAACCATAAAAGTCGAATATTGGCTGTGAACCGGATCAAACATTTTTATGAGACCATTTAAATATACAATGATAATTAAAAACATACCATCCTGTACCTGCAACAAGGACCGCATTTAGATATGAAGTGTTTTTCAATAATTCCGACCCATACAGGAATTGTTATTGCTTTACAATGGTCCCACTGCGGCCTGTAAATTGAACAATTATTTATTTGCCCGATATTATTAATCAAAGAACGGGCAGGTTACCAATTAAGCCAATGGTTGTTTGGGATACTTGTTACGTTCCAATCTTCCCCACACTTTTGATTACTTGTTTCTGTTAAAATGTATTTTTTTTTATTTCAAATAAAATGTAAAATGTCTAATTTTCTGATCGTGCGAATTGTGGGCGTGGCTTCTGTCAATGTTCCGTCAGCAAGAATGCAACGAAGAAACCCGTCAACTTCATTCTGTCGCTTATGACAGAATAACATTCCATTTTCTCTTCAACACTTGCTTCAGAAGAGCCAACTTAAGACTTGCATTTTGCTTTTGCCATTCAACCTAGAGATAGCGAATTTAAAGAATATCATGGAAGAAGGGACAAAACTCAATATCAAACTTGAGAAATATGTGGTTCTTCAAGGTAAACTATCAGTGTACCACACTGAAGGGTTCCTGGGTGAGGGCTCCTATGGGAAAGTGGTCAAGTGCACCAAGCTTGACAATGAAGAGCTTGTAGCTGTGAAGGTTTTGCGCAAAGACTGCTTCAAAGAAGGAAAAAAAGAGGCAAAAATACTGAGGAAAATCCTGCAACTCGACCCTGAGAAAAACAACTTGCTGAAGTTCATTGAAAGCTTCAAATATAAAGGCTACTTCTGTTTGGCCTTTGAAATTCTGGATGTGAGTGTCTTTGACTTTATAAAGAGCAGAGATTTTGTACCGCTCAGTCTTCCTGAAATCAGAGTAATTGCTCAACAGTTGCTTGTAGCTTTGAATGCTTTGAAAAGCGCCGGTCTGGTTCATGCTGACATTAAGCCAGACAACATCATGTTTGTCAACCATAGGTCACAGCCTTTGAAAGTGAAGTTGATTGACTTTGGGTTGGCTGTGAAAGCGTCCAAACTGTGGTTTGTGGGCACTGTTCAAGCCATCGGTTACCGGGCCCCTGAAGTCATCTTAGGTCTAAAAATGAATGAAAGTGTCGACATGTGGTCTCTGGGTTGCAGTTTGGCCTACATGTACCTGGGTTACAACCTCTATCCTACACACTGCGTATATGAGGTCATTAGGGCTATCGTCCACATTCATGGTCAACCCCCAGATGATGTGTTGAAAGATGGCATGGATGTGCAACACTTCTTCACTAAACTCACTGACTCTTCTCACTGTACGTTCAGACTCAATACGCCAGCTGAATATACAAATGCAACAGGGTATGGAACGCAATTTAAAAGTGGCATTTACAACCGCATATCCGGCCTCGATGACCTGCTCAAGACTCGCCCATGGCCGATAGACCCAATGGAGCGTGAAGATTCCCTTGGATTTATTAGCCTGCTAAAACAAATACTGTTGGTAGATCCAGATGCCCGGATCACCCCAGGAGAGGCTCTCGGTCATTGTTTCATAACTATGAAAAGTTTCTCAGGTGGGAGAAATAACTCCAGTGAAGCATCAACTTCGAAAATGGTGACTGACTGCAAAATTCACGAGTTTGCAGTAGACCATTATGTCATGTCAAGTGAAGAAGCTGGAAGAACAATGGAAGATGCAGCCGAAAGACTGCCAGGTGAGGCTAGAGATTCTGTCCTCATAATTCATACAAAAATCCCATCATCAAACATTGCAACCACTTTTACAAACCCTCTTTTTTCAGATAAAGAACAGCCAAGAAGGGCCTTAATGAAAGTATCATCCTGTTTAAAAGCTCAGCAAGAAGGTGTGGACCAGACAGACACTGCAGCCGATGGAAGAAACAAAGAACCCTCAGGTGAAGCTCACACTAACTCGTTAGCACTTAAAACTGAAGATGCACCGATCCAATTTTTCACTTCTGATACCAATACAGATATTGGAGGTGTATTGAATACTGATCTAATACAGTAATCAGTGCAGAATTGACTCTAAACATTTTTCTAGAGTCAGACAAATGTACTGAATTACAAATTTATTTGATAACTCGGCACCAGTACAGCATACTTAAATACACATAGATTCATAATGACAAAACTGTAGGTTGACTGCCTTGGGCAAATGTGTAGAAATAAGCTGCGACAAACCTTCTTCCAAATGGTTTAGAAAATGCAATTAGAAATTCTAAGTGTAATATAAAATAAGTAATAAAGCATGGTGTCGCTCAGAGCACAACACGTAGAATTAGACTGAATAGATAAGCCTCCCGCCCCTCCTTCTTCACATCAGACAAAACTGGTGTCAATCAAGTTGACTACGTTTGTGCTGGTTAGTACAGTAAAAAAAATGTTTGTGCTGCTTTGGCTTTGAAGTTATTAATGGAAGTTTAAAGGTCATAAGGTCAACCAACCCTCCCACTTTTATGAAATCAAAATGACCTTTAAACTTTCATTAATACCTTCAAAGCCAAAGCAGCACAAACAAGAATATTTGCTGCACAAATCAGCACAAACACACCTGAGTTGATTGACACCAATTTGAAGAAGGTTGAGGGGGCTGGTTGACCTTTTATGACTTCTGGGAAAATGTCTTAATATCTTTAAAATGATAGCGGCACAAACGGAAATTTTTGCTGCACAAACATAATACAAACATTTGACACCAATTTTGTCTGATTTGAAGAAGGAAGAGGGGGAGGGGAGCAGCTTCACTTAGGAGGCACATGGTCATGATACAGAATCTAGAAGTGTTTTTTCAATATCGGGAAAAAACACTTTTTTCCCGATATTGGAAAATCGGAAAAAAAATTTGGAAAATCGGGAATATCGATTATAATACAGATATTATATATAATATCTGTATAATAATACAGATATTATTATTGGGTCGGTGCATCTCTACCTAAAACCGTTGAGAATATATATATCTCAAATACTAAAAATTATTTCCAGTACAGATGATAAACCTTTTTCCAGATAAGGAGCAGATGGGGAAGACCATCATCAAAGTAAGGCCTTATATTTTTGCTTACCAAGAATCAGCTGAAACTATCGTCAAAACGTCAGGCAAGAGTAAATTTATACCCCCAGGTAAGACCTTGTCTCCAAAACCCTGGAGTACGTTTTTTTCTTTTGCTTCAAGTTTTAAAGCAACTTCTTGCATTTCATTTGACCCAGCCTTTGGATACAGAAGTGGGCAGAAGGGGTCTGAGTCAAAAGCCTCTGGAAAACCTCTGAAAGATATAGAGTGGAAAGAAAGGACCATTATCAAAGTAAAGCCATATTCTTCTGCTGATCAAGGCGGAAAAGACAGAGCTGACACGGAAGATGTTTCGTCAGAAAAAGCCAGGTCCACTGATACTAAAACTCCCAAGAAATGCTCTGCTGCAGAGAGAAAAGGCATTTTCTGTATAAACCGGAACCCTTCTGATTTTGTGGAAGTTAAAGCTCGGAAGACATCAGCAATGAAGACCCGGAACTTCTTCTCTTGGCTGATCAAATTCATCTCATGCAACAGAAAATGTGACTGAAACAGTGCATAGAACTCCACAGCCTCCACATACAGGACACTGGGCGTTGCCTAAAGACTCCAAAGATCAAAAATTGTGTATCTCTGAGCATAATAAAACCTTTTAATTCCATTAAAAATTGATACAAAGATGTTGTCTGTGTGTGTTACGTTTATCACAGATGGTACATAAGTAAAGGTTGAATATATTGTGTCTTTTCAACAGTGAATACAAATAGTAGTGTGAATTTCTGACCATGTAATAGAGGTGTGCACTACTGCATATGTTGGTATTGATCTAATACCAACACCAAAAAGTTTTAACATACCATTAAACCTCTGTCCCCTGTTTTTGTGTTTTTTTCCTATGAATTATTTTAGTTCAAACATAAGACAGAATTTTTAAAAAATGTATAGGTTCCTGGGGTTTCATTATTTTTCCTTAGATACTCTTGGTTAATTATAGCAAATGCTTGGCACAACTA